TTTACTCCTCCCTCCTATTCTCTAACCAATAAAATGGGCCAGGGCAGTTCCTTTATTAGCCAATGATTTTCCTCCATCATGTTCTGCAACTACAATCTCTCTTTTTTTTAATATGGCTCTCATGTGTCCTGTTTTGTTTTGGTCTTTTTCACTTATAGAAAGGCAATGGTATTCTGTATGTACTCTAAGATGCGGAAGGATAAAGTCTGAAAATATTAGCCCTGACTCAGCCACATCCTAATGTTCTTAGAACTGGCCACCTATGCTAGTCAGAGGAAGAACAACAGGTTGTGTGCTCAGGGTTTAAGCACAGAGTAAATTATCATTAGAATCATTCCCAGGGCTGCCTAAGACAGGAGTCACAGCAGAATCAGATATCACAGCACATAGGTTCCTGTGCCCCCTGCTTTGGCTCAACACTTTCTCCATTGTGGGTCCATAGCAAAGAGACAGACAGGTAATAGAAACCAGTGTCCGCCACTTAATACAACACAAGCTCTCGGAGCTAGCATTTGTTTAGTTCAGTGCCCTGGATCTACCACTGTTTTCCATTTCTCCCATCAGACGTGATGAAAATTATCCACTTCTGGGAGCAGAACGCTAGTATGCCTGCCCTCTTCTCCTCCCATCCCAGGTGCTGTTAGGGGACCAAAAGTTCCTCACACCCAAGCCTATTTATGTAAGCTAAGATTGTGATTACCTAAATTAAAGAACTATTATTGAAATCAGTGGAGAATGCAAAAAAAGAGAATTATTGTTCCTATTTCTAAAAACCCAAATGGTTGTTTTCAAACAATTCAATGGGGTTGTGTTAAATTCCATGAGGACTCTGCCTTCAAAATGCTCTGTGAGGATTTTTGAGCTCTCGCTCCATTTGAAAGGAAGGAATGGTTCGCCATAGTGGTTCTTTCTGGAAGAAAGACCATTAAGATTATAATCAGCCAACTAACTAATTTTTAAAAGGCCTCGGTGCCTAGGATGTAACTCAGTGGTATGTCACTTCTCTGGTGTGCGCAAGACCGTGGATTGGATGGCATCACTACAAAAACAGAAAGACTTTGGACTGATATCAAAAAACTACTGTCAAACAAAAAGATATGAGCATTTTAGGTTCAAATAATACCTGTGTGTGTAGCATACATATATATATATACATATACATACATATATGTATATGTATACATATATATACGTATACGTATATGTATATATATATACATATACGCTCACAGAAACCCATATGCATTTTAAATTTCAAATGATTATGTCCTGATTAACTTCTTAAATGTTTCATTATTTTCTAATTAGTAATGCCACTTTGTTAATTTCCTAATTAGTATTCAAATTACCAGTGGAAGACTAGGTGTATAGTTTGCTTCCATTCAAGTGTCACAGATGGTCAGTGGCCCTCGGAGATCTTACCCCAGCTCTGGGATGAGGTTCTTTCCCAGTACACTCATTCTTTAGCCATCATTGGAGCCAGGCGGCAGGGAGTGTGGCTCCTTGGGCGCCTAGGGCAATCAGAAAGCAGCTCTGCTACCAGCACGACCATATGAATGCAACAGCTTCCCATGCTCGGCATTCACTCCGGGCTAGTATTCGAGAACCAAGGCCAAACACTCCCGGATCCTGACTGCAAGGAAAGGTGCCCCAGCCCGTTCCAGTCCAGTCGGACCAAATGCCTCTAACTTCCCCTTTGCTGACTCCAAGCTATTGAAAGACCCCCGCAGTATAGACAAACAGCTAAGCAGCAGCAATGCCAGGCTTAAACTTTGGAGCAACGCAAGTAACATTAGAGCAGGGAAGTTCAACTTGAGAACAAGGGCGAAGCCAGGCAAGATATCTGCGGTCAGCCGGTCAGCCATCTGGCCCCAAGCGATAAGGAACCCGCAGCTGGCCTGCTCTAATGAGAACCTCCCGTTTGCTTAAGGAAACAGGATGCCTATAGTCAGCACATGTGCCCAACTTAGAATATCAGTAATTCACAGAAGAGACAACTCCCCCTATGAAAGATCCCAGCTTGGCTGCTGTAACGTCATTTCACAAAGCTTTTGATGAACGACTGTAAGTGCAGAGTAAGGTCAGGGTCCCTGGCTGCAAAACAGGATATTTATATCCATAGATTCGGGCAGGACATCAATTAACAGGATATCTGTTCCCATACATCTGTGCTGGGAGAGGAAAAACCACCTGTGCCCCTTGCCCCATTCCAACTGACCACTAACGATGCATTTGCTTCTGTAATCTGCTTCTGCTGCCCTCTTTCCTATAAAAAGACCTTCCCCCAGTCTACAGGCGCGCTTTGTCTTTCGAGAGACTAAGTCGCCCCAGGTACCTGTGTACTGAATAAAGCCTCTTGCTATTTGCATCCGAAGAGTGATCTCGCTGTTCCTTGGGAGGGTCTCCTCAGCCTGAAAGACTGCCCACCACTGGGGTCTTTCAGACACAAAGGCTTTTAGTGTAGCAGTTTTCCTAAAGGAGGGGCCAGGGATCAGGAGGAGGGACTGGAAGCGTGGTTAAGCTTCTGAGAAGTTATGTAACCTATTTTCCAGCAATCCATTAGAGAAGCCCGGTTTGGTGGTGTTGTGTGTCTGTGATCCTAGATCTGGGGAGCCCAAGACAGGAGGAGTGTGAGTTTGAAGCTAGCCACGGCTACACAAAGAGTTCCCAGGCCAACCTGGGAACACAATAAAACAAAACTCATTGGGCGACAGAAGGGTAAGAAGTAGGTATTAACTTTAATTTTCTAAGATTCTAGAATTGCCACACAGACATAGGTGTGACTCCCCAGGCTGCAATTTGATGGTTGGAGCCCACAAGGAATTGTCCAGCGCAGCAGCAGACTTACCCTGGAAGGTTGGGGTGGGGGTGTGCGTGACTAGAAAACACACCTGGCACATATTTAGCAATCACTCAATAAAAAAGTCACTGTCACTATTAGCAATAAATATTTGTTTCTTAAATCTTCCTCTCCCCTTCCTTTTTTCCCCCCTCTTTACTTTTTCCTTTCCTCTCTTTCTTCTTTTTTTCCCCTCTTACCGAGGTGATTTTGAAATGTGCAAAAAAAAAAAAATCAGTGGAGAAATAACAGAAACAACACAGGAGAAAAAAAAAAGCCACAAAATTGATATGAAGTTTGAATTGGAGGATAATGTATTGGCGTTTGAACAGACAGAACCAGAACCTAAGAGATGTGGTTGTTGGGGTGTGGGCAACCAAGTGTTGAAAAGGCATGTAGGTTAGACCACATTTTTTTTCAATGGAGGAGTCCTGAAGTTTAGGCCACACCTCAAGGTGAAGGTGATTAGGTATTACATTTAAAAAAAAATTGTGGCCAGGTGGTGGTGGTGTTCCCCTTTAATCCCAGCACTTGGCAGGCAGAGGCAAGAGAAACCATGTTTTGAAAAACAAAAAAGAAGCAAACAACAAAAACGAACAGCAAAAAATTGTTATTGTTTCTCAGGTGCTGCTCTCCTTTACTGTGTGTGTATGTGTACCTTACGTGTGTTGCCCTTGCCTGTGCACTCACTTGCGGAGGCTGGAGGTTGACCTCAGGTGTCCTCCTCTATAGCTTCACAAGCTTCCAGGCTCTGCCTGTCTCAGCTCCCCAGGGCTGGTATTACAGGATACACTGCTGGGCTTATCTGAAGCTTGATCCTCAAGCTAGTACCCAAAGCAGTTTACTCAATGAGCCATCCATTCCAACCTCACATAGTTTCTGGGACAAGGTTTTGCCTTGCCTAGGGGCTTGCCTAGACTCACGGCAAGAAAGCCTCCAGGATTCTGTCTCTGCTGCCCCAGAGCCAGTTTCTAAGTTGTCTTCAAGTTCTCTGCCTGCTGGTCACCTCCCCAGCGAGGCTTCCCATTTTACATTTTAAAACGGACACAAGGAGAGGAGCCACTTAGCTGAGCAGGCACAGCCTGTACACAGCTTTGTACCTTTCAGATTTAACCTATTGAGTTAAACAATCAGTTAATTTACAAAGAAGCATTTAAAGTCACCTGGCGAAGATTTAGCAGAGTTGAAGGAACAAAAAGATGATGATGTGAATGGGAGAAACTGGCCGAGGACAGACAAACTGTTTCTGCAGGAAAAAGAGAAGGTAGCTTGGGGCTGTGGGTGGGGGGGACCTACTGGGACTTACTGTCCTTTTAGGAGCTGAAACAATGTATTTATGGAGAGGAAGAATTTGTCTAATAAACCTCGCTTACTCACTGCCAGTGATTATTGTTTATTTTAAATAACACTGGACGGCTCTACGATCCGGTTTCTGGGTAATGTTTTCTCACAAGTTCCACCCTTCTGCTCCTCCAAAGCCCTCTCGGGTTTGGCAGCTTTCCTTTTCACTTGATTTGCACAAACTGCCAAGCACGCCAAGAAGATTTAACCTAGTAATTACATCGAAAGAGATTTAGGACTACAAAGACGTGGCATGAAACTCAAGAGGTTTAGTGTCGCCATAAAAGGATCCTAACTGTACAGTGCTTCCTGCGCCCTGGCTACTTTACAGCCCCAGCTGGACGCAGGAAATAAAGTTTTACAAACACAACTCGTTGATTTGTTTAACCTCTCTCTCTACAATGGAACACAGTACATGAACACTTTTAGACGCCTGAGTGTAGATGGCTTCCTTTAAGCCAAGGAGTCCCACAGGCAGCGAGCCAAGTTCTTCTTAATACGTCGTGGGGACCCGGGCCACCTGGGCTTAGGAGCTGCCTCCGAGGACTGATAGGGATGCTAAGGGCTCGGCGGGGTCCGCCCTCCCGTGGCCTCTGCTTCCGGGATCCAGGAGAGGCCTGGCTGGTCGCTGGCGCCAGGTCGGACCGTGAAGGAAAAGGCAGAGGAAGATGACAGCGGAGTCCGACACCGCTCCGGACCTCCAGTCCCTGACCCGAGTGACACCACGACGGCTGGAAGCCCCGCAGTCCGCCGGGGTTGGAGGCGGCCAGCCACGCCCCTCGCTCGCTCCGCTTCCGGCACCCCGGCCCGCCCCGCGGCGGCACTGCCACATCCTCCGGTGACGTCAGCGCGCGCCGCCATATTGGGAAGCGCCGCCGCCGCCGCCGCCGCCGCCGCCGCCGCCGCCGCCGCCTCCGCTCGGGATCCTGGGCTGTGTGGGGCCACGACCGCGGGCGGAAGGCACCCTTGTGTACCCCGCCGACTCCCGGCCCGCCGGCTTCGCCCAGCCCCGGCTCCTCATGACCGCCTTCGGCCCCGCAGCCCACGGACATCGCCCCAGCGCCGAGGATTAACACGGAAGCACCTGGGGCCGGGGCGGTGAGGGAGAGCCGGCCGGTCCCGCGACCCTGTCGGTCCGGCGCGGCGCTTCGGCCGGAGTCATGACCTCGCTGACCCAGCGGAGCTCGGGCCTGGTGCAGCGGCGCACCGAGGCCTCCCGGAACGCTGCCGACAAGGAGCGGGCGGCGGGAGGCGGCGGCGGCAGCGGCGAGGACGAGGCGCAGAGCCGCCGCGACGAGCAGGACGACGACGACAAGGGCGACTCCAAGGAAACGCGGCTGACCCTGATGGAGGAGGTGCTCCTGCTGGGCCTCAAGGACCGAGAGGTGCGGGCGGACGGGCGAGCCGGGCGGGGTGGCGGCGGGGGCGCGGGCTCCAGGTGGGCCCCGGTGGGCGCCGGCCGAGGCCGCACCTGCCCCTGGCTCGGGAACCCAGTGGCCCGGAGCGCCCAACTTGTCCCGAGGAGTGTGGGGGTCAGCCCCGTCCGGCGGGGCCCTGTGCGTTCCGGATCCTCCCGGTACCGACCCCGAGTGCTTGGATGTCCTCTTCCTCCGCTCACAAGCACTCTTCCTTTTGAAATCTTGGCCGTCTTTGCCTTGCTTTCTTTCGCAAACGATTGCAGTTCCGACCTGAGACAGCTCGGTACACCCAAAGTCTCGGAGCCCCCCAGCGCTCCCAACTATTGAGTCTTGCTGTTGGAGCTACTTGCTGCCGGCCCCTTTTTATGTAAAACTTCAGTTACTCTGTGCCGTTGAGAATTAGCAAAGTTATTTTACTGGGTCTTGTTTAAAAAGTCAACGAAAATTGCTTTAAAACCGAGGAAGTAACTTTTTGGGTGAACTCGGTGTGAGAGAGAGATGAGTTAGGATTGCGGTTCGTTTATCCGTCGTTGCCCTTAGTTTTGCCATTTTAAGGGAGGGCTTTGTCGTGAAGTGCTGGGAATACCGGGTTTGTAATTTGATGAAAGGCCGCAAAGATTTAGATAGGCTTAAATTGTATTCTGACTTTTGGAAGGGTCGTTCGCGCTCCACCCGCCACCCCCCCCCCCCCCCAACCCAGAAATTTTACAGAGAAGTTGAAAACATGCTAGTGACCGTCTCTTTCCAACATCTGGACTCTGTAGTTAACGTTTCACCTTATTACATACCCATGCTTTAAAGGAAGCGGTTATTTTTAAAGACAGACTTGCAGGTTTGGATATTTCATAAATCATGTATGATGAGGTGGCCCGGAAGCTTGTTTCGTTTCAGTATGGAAACTCTAGACAACACATTTTGCGAGTCAGACAGGTGTAAGTTTTTAGAATTCAGAAAGGACAGCAGAAAAACTCCAGTTCATACCTATAAAAAAAAAGTTTTTAGTTCCCCAAACTTATCAGCGGTAGAAAGATGAGTTGTTTTTTTTTTCCCCCTCCTGGACTGTTTGTGTTCCCCGGATATTAAACTGTCCAGGGAAGTGAGTCTTGATGGAAATGGTCACGTGCCTCACTAGTAGTCATCTTGAAGACAATTGATGGCACTTGAAGACACTTGACTGTAAAGGGGCACACTACCTGTTTAATTACAGTTACTGTGAGGAAAGCAGGTGACCTGTGTTTTCTTTTTGTTGTGCGATTTAGAAGCTAGGTGCTAGTGCCGTAGTAACGCGATTTTAGAAGTATTCATTTAGAAAATATTAAGATTGAGAAAGTAGGCTTCTCAGTACTGCACATTGTTCTTTACTCCCCTTCCTCCTCTGGAACAAAACAGATTATAAGACATTTTTAGAAAATATAAGAAAAGCAAAAAAGAAAAAAAGACTGTATTTCAGGGTTAACATTTTGATTCCATATGGATAGAACTCCGTAAAGCTAAAACTTAACAAAACCTCCTTTTTGATGTTGTCACACTGAGCCATAATGGTGAGAAAGCACCTTTTATTTTAGAGGCATTACTCTGAATGTTTAAGCTAAAGCTGTCAACACTTTTCTGTGATTGGTTCCCATGAAGATAATTGGAAGAATTTGTTGAAATTTAATGATATTGCAACATATACATAGTTTGTTTTTTTTTTTTGAAGTTCTTTGATGCCAGGTAGTTGAAACCATCTGTTGTGATTATTTCGCATAAATAGTCTACTTCATAAGTTATGACCAAGATTCAGCCAGACTCTTAGCTAATCTTTAGCTTTTTTTTTTTTTTTTTTTTTTTTTGAGACGGTTTCTCTGTGTTGTTTTGGAGCCTGTCCTTGAACTAGCTCTTGTAGGCCAGGCTGACCTCAAACTCAGAGATCCGTGTGCTTCTGCCTTCGTGTGCTGGGATTAAAGATGTGCACCACTACTGCCTGACTTTTTTTGCTTGTTTAAAAAAATATAGGCAAGTCCAAGAAGTGATAGTGTGCAGGAGGCTAGGATTTTGCATTGTCTTCTTGGTTTTAGAGATTCTCTTGTATATATTTCTTCTTCTCATTGAATATACACATACCAGAACTATAAACTATCCATTCTTTTGGGGAGGTTCTCCCTTGCCCTTTTTGTTTTTAAAAGACAAAGGTCTTGGTGTGTACTGTAGGTTGACTTCCAACTCCTGGTTTCCTGCCTCTGTTTCCCTGGTGCTAGAGTCATAGACATACTTTATATTCCTTTTCAAGGACCAGGAGTTTTCTTACCTTGTCCCTAGGCACTTAAGCCTGTATTAGATTTCAGTTTGTTAAATTTGTTATTTACTAAAGTTTTAGGGGCTGGGAATATGACTTAGAAGGTAGAGAGTTCTGAATTTGATTCCCAGCTCTGCACAAACAGCTCGGTGGTTTATGCCTATAATCCCAGCAAGAATATCAGAAGTTCAGGGACATCTTCACCTACATAGTAAGTTGGAGTGTAGTAAGAGGATGGGCTACACAAATACAGAAGGACCTCCTACACCATTGGAGGTCAGTCTGAGCTATATGAGAAACCAGTTGGCTTTAGACTGCTTAAACAGAACTTGTTTAAAGACCTTATTAGGTCTTAAACTCAGGACAAATGGCTAACTGGGGTACCTATCAAAGCGGGTTTTGGCTGCCTGACTCTGTCAACATCACCAGTAACTGCCTGTTACAGAGTCCTAACTCCTCAGCACTTCCTACCCAGTCCCCAACCCTCAACCTTTCCAGCCCTTGAGCTTCATGTACTACTGCTCTTTCTATATAACCCAGCCATTTGGGCTATTTGGTCTCTTGGCCGCTTGCTCCTTTTGACTTCTGGTTCTTCTCCCAGGGGATCTCCTCACTCCTCTTACATGGCCAGGTTCAGTCTGGACCCTTCCACATGCCCCTGCCTGTTTTTATCTACAATAAACCTTTCCTCAACCTATACCTAGCAACAGCATTCAGTCCTGACAATTGATTTTTTTTTTTTAATTCAAGTTGGCATTTCAGTTTTTTTCTTTCCTTGAAACACCTGTACCTGGGACTCTTTAAGGGGTTCTGGCACTACGTCTGGGTGAAGCGTATGGTATTTAGAAGCCACTCACTACTAGAGTGTCAGATAGGTTCACCCATGAGGTCAAATTAAGTAATTAGCAGGATTTCTTTGAATGGTGTGGGGCAGAACAAGTGGTAGGTATTTTTCTTTCCGTTATTTATTTGTGCTTTTCCATAGATGCATCTACTAGAGTAATTTCAGCGTACTTCAATAAGAATTACCTTAAATAACCAAAATTATAATTTTTCTTTTGTTTTAGAAGATTAAATTCAAGGGCCTCACACATACTGTACCACCACTAACTTTTGAGTTACTTTATTGTGACAGATCTAAATACTTGAGGTTGGATTTGATCATTTCATTTCCTTAGCTATTTAAAGATTTACTTATTTTTCTTTTACGTGTATGACTGAGTGTTTTGCCCACGCTTGTGTGTATGCACATCTAGAGTGTGTTCTTGATGCCTGAAGAGTCCAGAAGAGGGCATCAGATCTCCTAGTTACAGATGATTGTAGGCTGCTCTCTGGGTCCTTAAAATTGAACCTGGGTCTTCTGGAAGAGTGGCCACCAGTGCTCTTAACTACTGAGCTATCTCTCCAGCCCAAATTTGACTATTTAAAATGTCCAGTTTAATTTGGGAAGATAGCAGGGTTGGTAAAGTGCTCGCCACAAAATACAAGGTTCTGAGTTTACTACCCAGCACTCAAGTAAAAAGCTGGGAGTGGTGTTGCAAGGTTAGGCAGAGACAGTGCCTCATTGCAGCCCCTGAACCAGCCATCCTCCAAGCTCCAGACCAGTGTGAGACACTGTCTGAGAAAACAAGGTGGTTGGCATCTGACGGTAACACTGAAGTGACCTCTGGCCTCTACATGCACACATACCTGCACATACAGTAAAAGAAGAAAAAGGTATGCCTGTTGAATATAAGTGAGGCTTTGTAGTCTTGTAGTCTTCCTTTGCTTTACATACTTGTAAAGTTTCACAATTTTCATAAAAAGTGGGAAAATGGTCACTTCTAATGCTTTAGATTGTGCTTTTGTGATTCTTACTGTTTACTAGAATAAACTTCTCTTACACTTTTCGTTTTGTCTTGCTGGGGGAGGGGTGGGATTCTCCGTTGTGTTTAGCCCCAGAGTTGCTCCTTCTTTCCTTTCTTCCTTCCTGTCCTCCCCTCCCCTCCCCTCCCCTCCCCTCCCCTCCCCTCCCCTCCCCTCCCCTCCCTTCCTTTCATTTTGAGACAGGGTCTCTCTACATAGTCCTGGCTATCCTGGAACTCTGTAGATCAGTCTGGCCTTGAACTCACAGAGATCCTTCAGCTTCTGCCTCCCGAGTACTGGGACTAAATAAATTTGGGTGCTGCAAGGATTGCTTCACTTTGTTTTCTTGAACCCTCTCTGGATCCTCCTGCCTCTGCCTCTCAAATGTTAGGGTTATTGACAGCTTTAGGAGAGCTTCTTATTGAAGTGTCTTCTGTTCTTTTGCGCTGTAGCTAGACTTGTCCAGGCAGTGGTTCTCCCCAGAGACTTTGGAGGAAAAAGTCTTGGGGAGGGGGTGGTATTCTGTAGACCCTTCAGAACAGTGTATTCTTGTGTGTATCGTGTTCTCAAACATGGTTCTTTGAGTTTTCTTCCTGATCTTCTGGTGCTGTCTTTTTCTGCGGTCATTTTATTTTTGTTTTTTAGTCACCTGATTTTCTAAGTTTTAATAGCCTTTAGTAACATCCCCTTTAAAGACAGCATGTCTAATGCTTAGAAGAACTCTATTGTAGTAACTCTTGAAATAAGTAGTGATTAGCTGTATTTGGAGAAAAGATGGTAATTGGCAGACCTCAAATTTATTGTATAGCCTGGGCAGTTCTTGAATCTGAGGACTGTTCTTGAATTTGTGATCCGCCCCCTCCCTACCTTCCTAGGATTGTGATGACAAGGTGTGCGGCCAGGCTTAGTTTGGAAGTTTATAAGATGGAACTGACTTTGTGTGGTTTTCACAGTGTCCAAAAATGAGTTCTTTTTGAAATGAATCCTTGGGATACAGTACTCACTTACCAAGATCTATAACTGTTTTGTAAAAATAAAAATTACCTCTATATATACAATTAATGTATAACAGCTCTACTCTCAAATCTATAAGCCAGTAGTTATTCATCATATTTTCAGAACTTCAAGATGTGCTAAAAGTTGGTAGTAATTAAAAATTTAGTAAAATAATTTTGCATTTTATGATTCCTTTTTTTCTCTTCTCTCTCCCTCCCCTTCTTCTCCCCTTCTTCCAAGGCAAGTGGATCTCCCACCTCCTCTCCAGTGCTCCCTTTCTCCCTCCCTCCCTTTTGGTCTTTTGAGACAGGGTTTCTCTGTATCTCTGGCTGTCCTGGAACTCATTCTGTAAATCAGGCTGGCATCGAACTCGCAGAGATCTGCCTGCCTCTGCCTTCCTGAGTGCTAGTGTTAAAGGTGTATGCCACCACTGCCTGGCTATGATTTCTTTTCTAATACTAATTATATTCCCTTGATATTTTTGAAGGGTTTGCATTTTCATCTCTTTAAGTCAAGTATGAAGTTTATAGCCTATATGAAAAATAAGCAGGAAAGAGTGCAGCCTGTTAGCACACTGTGCTGTTGCAGGGTAACCTTGTATATACACTACAGTATTATAATGTAGCGTGCTCTAACATACACAGACTTAAAGAAAACAGGATATTTCTCTTCTTTCATAAGCTGCAGAGTTGCAGTACAGCTAATGGGGCCTGGGAGATGGCTCAGGGTAAAGTGCTGGCAGTGCCAGTGGAGGATCTCAGTTTGGATAGCCCCAGCATGCGCTCATAGAGTTGGGTCTGGGCAAGGCCCTTCTGTAATTCTAGTGCTCCTGAATCAAGATGGGTGCTAGACACAGGAGTATCCCTGGAAGCTTACAGGCTAAGTAGCCTGGTGTGTTCAGCAATGAACAACAAAAACCTTGTCTCAAGAAAGGTGGGAAGGGGTCCAGTGAAGATGGATCAGTTGATAAAGGCCTTTGCCACCAAGCCTGATTTTGACCAAATGATAGAACAGAACTAACTCCACCAAGTTGTGCTCTGACCTACAATAAAGTGGTGTGTGTTAATGTGTGTCCCCTGAAAATAATAAATAAATATGATGAGATCTGAGTGATAGACAGCAAGGACTGACATTTGAGGTTGGTCCTGGAACTACACAAACGGTGGACAGTCACATTCACTTGTGTATGCATGCATGAGGTAGGAGTAGAAAACAGTAAAGTGGCACTGTCTTTCCTCTTCCTATTTTGATGGTGCTGGGGATTTAACCCAGGGCCTTGCACCTGCTAAGCAAGCAGCACTCTGCAGCCAAACTACATATTCATGCCTAAAGTTAATTTATTTTTAAACTTAAGTTATATTTGGTTTACTTGGTTTATTAGAGAAAGTGTTTAGTTGGCATCAACAGATGTAGTTTAGAAATTTTGCTTGTACAGTTGACTTATCTCACCTTGACCTATACCCGTGACTCAGTAAATATTCTTTTTTTTTTTACCCATTGACCAGATTTATTATCCATTGAGTTTGATTTTTTAGGTTTAATCCTTAATAAAATAATTTATATTAGTATCTGAGATTCTTTAAGCTTTCTCATGGAGAAAAAGAAATCCAGGCAGCAGCTAGAGCTGCAACATAGTTTTCTTCTGCTGATCCTTGGGCATTCTGTTATGTGACTGAGTGATATCAATAAGGGTAGCTATACAGTGGCCAGGCTGGTTCCCCCACACCCCTTTTGAGACAGAGTCTTAACTACATAGCCCTGCTTGGCCTAGAACTCACTAAGTGGAACAGCTCTGCCTCCCAGGATCTGGGATCAACGGTGTGCACCACCGCGCCTGGCTAACCTCCTCTAGGTCAAGAGTTATGATCTTTGACCCACTGCTCAATCCACTTTGAGATCTGGTTGATGTTATTATCCTCTAGCTGCTCTGGTTCATTACTGGGCAGCTGGTGCACAATTTCTTCTCTGTAAGATGCTCTGGCTTCTTCATAAAGAATTTGGAAAATCTCACACTGAATGTTGTCTTGTAGTTTCTTCGCATTATAACCCCGTGTTTCAAGTCTTTTGTACAGTATACTATTATCTGTTCTCAACACAAAAACTATATGAAACAAGTGTTCAGGAAAGAAATCACAACCATGGTAATCAACGATAACGCCGCCTTCGCTCATCTGACTCTCTAACTCATCAACGACTCGATCTTCATCTAAAATGGGACAACCGTACTCTTCATCGTAGCCGTCATACAACTGCCCTTCTTGAGCTAAATCACCCACATTAACGTACTTCAGTCCTGATCTTGACGCAAGTTCTTTGCCTAGTGTGGTTTTTCCAACCCTGGGTGTACCGGTGAGCAGGATGTTCGGAAGCTTCATAGTCCTCCTTCCCAGGCCGCCAGCGCCTCGGCTCCCTCAGTAAATATTCTAAGTAAATCATACACTTAACACAAAATTATTCCCAAGAGAATGAATACTGATCTTGAAGGTGGTGCTGGAAAAACTTCATGTTTAAAGCTTAGCCATCCAGCATGTAAATTTAGTGTGTAGCTCACCTTATGGTTCATGAGGGAAGAGATAGTGGGGACAATGGAAACTGGCCAGGGGACAGTAAAATAAGTCTTACGCGAGTTTGCACTTAAGTCACTTGAGAAACTTTTTGTTTTGTTTTGTTTTTTGGTGTATGTGGTGAGATTGGCTCCCAGAGCCTTGGCATCCTACCTGAATCATCTGAGTGAGCTACATCCCTAGTCCTAGAAAGGGGCAATGGGGACATGTCTGGCCACTTAGGAGGCTGATGCAGGGGGACTACTGATTTCACCAGTTGGAGGCTAGTCTGTGCAATACAATGAGCTTCTTTCTCAAAGAACAACAAACTTTATTGAGAGGAATTTTATTTATAACAGAATTTGGCTGAGATTAGTAGGTTGAGGAACACTTTAGCATATACACTACAGAAAATTATGAGTTAAAATTTTAAGGAAAAAAGTTATTTTAGGTGACCATGTGAAGAGAACATGTATCTGTCCACCCTTGGCTTTTTGAGAAAGACTAGAGATTCAAGGGCTTACGTGTCGGCTGCTGGTGGTTACTGTCACCATTTCTTGGTTGGGACTGAAAGAACGTAGGGCCTTGTGCCTGCTATACATATTCTTAAGGGTTTTACCTTCAAGTGACAGCCCTTACCCTAAATCCATTTTCTTTTTCACTTAAAGATTTATGTGTAAGTGTTTTGCTTCCGTGTGTGTAAGTGCACCCTTCCCACCTCCCTACTTCCCAGCCATAATTGACCCTCAGGATCTACCGAGTCTTCCTCCTGTCTTCTGTGTCCTCCCCCTTCTCATCCTCTCGGGTATCTCCAGGCTGGGCCCTGCGTGTACCTGGACTGCTCTGCAAACCTTCTCCATGCCTCTTTTTCATCTGTTTCTCTCCAATCTGGTCACCTTTCTGTAGGTGGGGTCTTTCTAAAATGCCACTTACCACGTTTTGTTTTTAGCAAGAAAAATGAGAAAATTTATTCAGGAAGGCTATACTTCTAAGCCAGGGTCGTTTATTAGAAGCTATACTTGCAAGCAGGAAAGCAAGTTGGAGAAGAGAGGAAGAGTGCATTCTGCAGCCTGCAGCCCCTCTGCAGGAAGTGTTGGGCCTCTGCTGCTTTCCTAGGGCAGGGCTTTTTGACTTCTTGCAGAGCACAGCTCTCTGGCTCATTTCATAGCTTGGGTGTTTTTTGGTTCCGTATATGACTTTGTGGACGCAGAACATCACTCATTAACATCTCATAACTCCACCCAGGGCTATGTGGTTGACTCCTAAACATTCTAGCACGCCCCTGTGCCTATGCCTGTGTTATGAGCCAGTCTCAGTCAAAGGTTTCCAGTCTTCCCCTTTGCCAAGTTGTTTTTTGTCACATGTTAGTTCTGCAGTCTTTGACTAAAGCTTTCTGGACCTTACTGCCCCCACTATTCTGCCCCCACTCTTTCCTGAGAACTGTGGTTACAGAAGTTTTTGGGGTGTTGGTGTTGGTGAGTATGTTTGTTTGTCTGTGTGTATGTACGTGTGCATATGTGAGTGTGTGTGTGTGTACGTGTGTGTATGTGTTTGTCTGTGTGCATATACATGTGAATGTGTGAGTGTTTGTGCATGTGTTTATGGGTGTGTGCACGCATGTGTGGGTGTGTGCTGAAGGACCAGTCTGTCTTCTGTAATGACTTCCGTGTTATTTAGGGCTGTTGTCCTAAATTTATCTTATAGGGTAAGAGTTTAAGAGAAGCAATCTGGATCCCCTGTAGTAGAACCTGGCTGGAATCCCTGTAGCACAAGCAATTTAAGATGGAACTGCTATCATTTGTTTTCTGATCCATGCAGCAAAATACCTGGCAAAATCTACTTAAGGAGGACAGGGTTTATTTTGGCTGTTTGAGGATACAGTCCATCAAGGAGGGGACTTAGAGGGAAGGCGTGACTGCAGGAGCTGGAGGCAGTCCGTCTGCAGCATCCACAGTCCAGACACAGAGAGCAGGGAATGCTGCTGCTCAGCTCCTTTTCATTCAGTTCAGGACTCCAGCCACACTGAGGACGAATCTTCCTGCCTTAACTAGCCTATTCCAGAACTTCGCAGATGTGCCTAGAGACTCATTTCTGTGTGATTCTAAACCATGTTAGGCTGACAAGTCAGATTAAGCACAACACTGCTGTATTGCTTTCATTCTGAAAAGAGGTTTGAGACTGATTACAAATTCACAGCTCTAGAGAGTCCCTTCTGGGTTCCCGGACTGGGTCCCTGGGGCTGGGTTCACTGGTTTTACCCTCCTTTCTGGCTCACTAGCTGATAACAGTGGATTTTGAGGGGCGCCCAGTGGTACCCAGGTTCTTTCATTTCAAGAAGAAAGAATTGGACAGAGACACAGAGATACTGGGCAAGAGAATTTATTCAAATGGGATGGAATTCCAAGCAAGGTTCACTTATTAGAAGACACATTTTCTTTTATTTCTGTACATAATTTACATATGAGTTTAAATTTAATGAAAACCTTGAACAGTTTCAGCTGTACTTCCAGTTATCACTGTGGTGTTCCTTTCTGGTTTGAGTTGTATTTTAGACTGTAGTAGACTCACAACATTTCTCCCTCCCCTTTCTTCCCTCCAAACCCTCCTATCTACCCCTCCTGCCCACCTTCAAATTCAGGGCCTTCTTTCTCACTAATTGATATCACATGCATATATGTACATGTACATACATATACGTTCCTAAATATAGCCCGCTCAGTATGGATAATGATACTTGCATGTATATTTTCAGGGCTGACTGGCCCTGTACTGGCGTGCTCTTCCCTGGAGACAACCACTCCTCCCAGATCTCCTCAGTTACCTACAGCTCTTTGTAGGGCTGAGGCCTCTTGGACTTTTCCTCATCCATTTTGGCATGCCCATTGGTGCGGTTCTTGTTCATCTCATGCTTGGCAGACATGTTGGTGAGTCCTTATGGGTGTAGCTTCTGGCATTACTAGGAGACACAGTCTCACAGTGAACTCTCTGATCCTCCAGCTCTTAACATCTTTCCACCCTCTCTTCCTCAATGTTCCCTGAGCTGTTGCCAGGCTTATCAGGTGTTATCATGACCACCAGCTCCCAAATAATGACACGGAACTTCTTATTAATAATGAAATCTCAGCTTTAGCTTAGGCTCATCCCAAATTAGCTCTTATAACTTAAATTAACCCGTTTATATTAATCTATGTTCTGCCACATGGCTTGTTACCTCTCCTCCATACATCTGACCCCCTCCATGTCTCACTGGCATCTCTGAGTACCTAAGATTCTTCCCCTGTACCGATTTAGAGGATTCTTCATCTGGACCTGGCTTTCCTATGTGTCTGCAGCAGTCTCTGACCACGTGAGCCAAACCTTTAGTGGCCCTGCTTAGCACATGATCCTGGCAGCTGGCTCTGCTCTGCCATGGGTCAGTGAGAGCTGAGCTTCATGCCCCTGGGCCCCTGCTGGGAGCCACATTTAACCACCCCAGCTCTACAGAGTTGCTGGTTTCATGCTATGAAAGGTGTTTCTATCTAAGTTTCCCATTCTTTCTAGTAGAGTGCCATTCAAGTGCTTAGCTGCATAGCAGGGCCTCTTAAAGGAGCCACACCTCTATATGTCCGCAAACAGTGGCCTCTGTGTCCTGGACTTTTCTCAGCTTTCTCAGACCCTATTTTTGCATATACAGGCCGGACCTCCACATGTACCAATCTTCCTCATCGAACTCCCCAAATAATTACAGAGACTAATTACAAATTATGAAAGCTTGGCCTTTAGCTTAGGCTTATCCCCAACTAACTCTTAAAACTGTTTGTTGTTGTTTGTTTGCTTGTCTGTTTTTCAAGACAGGGTTTCTCTGTAGCTTTGGAGCCTTTCCTGGAACTTGCTCTGTAGACCAGTCAGGCCTCAAACTTACAGAGATCCACCTGTCTCTGTCTCCTGAGTGCAGGGATTAAAAGTGTGTGCCACCACCACCTGGTTTTAGCTCTTATAACTTAAATTAGCCTGTTTCTAATAATGTACATTTTACCACATGGCTTTTTACCTTTCCTCCACTCCATATGTCCAACTCCCTCTGTGTGTCAATCACTGGCGTCTCTTGTCACACCCAGATTCTAACCCCTGAGTTCCTTTCTCTGCCTGGAAGACCCACTTATTCTCTCCTGCCTGCCTGGCTATTGGCCAGTCAGCTCTTTATTAAGCTACTCAAGTGCCTTAGACAGGTGAGGCAAAAGACAGACACAGCTTCACATAGCATGAACAAATATCCCGCAACACTGAACCTTAGGTGCAAGAGTGTTTTCTGGATGTATCCACTGGGCTCCACCACTCTATATTTTGATTGGTTGTGGTTTTTTGTAATGATCTCCACCTGTTGCAAAGAGAGGTTTCCTTGATGGGGTGAATACTACACTTATCTGTGGGCATAAGGACAAATGGTTATAGATTATTGTTAGGGATTATGAAAAAAGACATTTTTCCATGGAAGCAACCAGAGCAGAGAGAATTTAGCGCCTTCTGATTGCCCTTAGAGTGATGTGGGATTCCTCTCTCTATGCTATGATTACTATTGATTAATAAAGAATCTACTTTAGGCCTATGGCAGGGCAGAATAGAGCTGGGCAGGGCAGACTAGGCTGAATGCTAAGAGAAAAAAGACAGAGTCAGAAGAAGCCATGGAGCCCTGCCGGAGACAGATAGTGGATGGAAACTTGCCCGTAAGCCACAGCCACATGGTGATACACAGATTAATAGAAATGGGTTAAATTAAGATGTAAGAGGTAGCCAATAAGAAGCTAGAGCTAATAGGCCAAGCAGTGATTTAATTAATATAGTTTCTGTGTGATTATTTTGGGTCTGAGTGGCTGGGAA